CATCTTCCTGGCAGGGGCAGGATCGGCCCCTCCCTCTGCTGCACTCTGAGCTCTCTGGAGCAGAGACCTGCAGCCCCAACAACAACAGCAACCGTATTGAGTGCTTCGGGTGAGTGCTGCATGTTCTAAGTGCTTTGCATTAAACGCATTCAATCCTCACAACAAAAACCATGGCTTACACCACTCCTACCTGCATTCATTCATTCAACAATATTACATACTTACTGTGGGCCACAGGCCATTCTAGGTTCAGGCGCTAGAGCTGAGAACAAAATGCTCAAAACTCCCAGCCCTCTGCAGCTTATGTTCTAGTAGAATGAGTTACGGACAACTAAAGGGAAATAGAGGACGTACTAAATAGTGATTAGGGCTCTGAGGAAAAATAAAGCAAGGAGGGGTATGCAAAGGACCTGGGGGGCTGGGGGGGGCGGTGGGCTGCCCTTTAAATACTGGAGTCAGATAAGGTGACATTCAAGCAAAGACCCAAAGAAGGTGAGAAAGCAAGCCAGGCCTGTACCTGGAGAAGAGCATTCCAGACAGACAGAATGGCCAGGGCAACATATCAGGGCAGGACTCGAGGGAGCCGAGGGGAGTCCTGCAGGGTGAGCCAGGGGAGAGGTGGGAGGCGCAACAGGTGGGGGAGGTGAGGCCACGTGGTGTGGACCCGTGGGCCACTGGGAAGGCTTTGGTCCTCCCGTTGGTTGCAGGGCCCTGAGAGTGAGCTATCGGCGAGCCAGCGTGGGAGCAGAAAGGACAGGGAGTTGAGAGACACGGTGGCTCTGAGCAGCGGGGTAGAGCTGGAGAGGGAAAGATGTCACTGGAATCTGGGTATCTGGATACATCTGAGAGCAGAGCCAACCGGACTTCCTGAGAGTCAGATCAGATGCGGGCATGCGAGACAGAGGAGAGTCCAAGATGTCTCCGGGGTTTTCATCTGAGCCCCTGGGAGGATGGAGGTGTCTGCTCCTTCACAGATTAGGAAATGAAGGCACAGAGTCAAGTAACCTGCCCCAGATCACACCGCCGGCCATTGGCCGAGCTGGGATTTGAACCCAGGCCTCTGGCTTTGGAACTTGGAGCTCCCTAACCCGCTGTGGTGCCTGGCGAATGCCAAACCTTAAAAGAAGAGTTTTCGAGAGAGGGAGGTAGAGACAGTGCCCGGATTGGAAACGCGACTGCTTCCGATCCAGCCTGGCGGGAAAGCGAAGCATCGGAACACGGACTTGGGCACCCGTCTGCTGGATTCCAGGAAGCGAGGGCCCAGCTTGCCCCTGCAGTGTCACTCAGAGGGCATTGGCCGTGCCAGCCTGCTTCCCTCAGTGTCCCAGGGGCACAACCGCACCCGTGGGGGCCCGACACAGGCAGCTACGTCACCTCCATCCAGCTCAAGGCACTGTCACCATGGAGAGACACCAACAGGCCTCCACAATATCTGGGCAACACAGGATAGGAGGGCTCCTCCTCGCTCCAGGGCCCAGGCCCAGGCACGTTGGAGTGTGGGCTGGGGGTGGGGCCTGGGGAATTCTGGGGCTCAGCCTGACACCCCAGAGGAGAGCAGAGTCAGCACCAGCGCTGCCTCTCCTGAGTGCCCGCAGAGTGCCCCGCCTCATCCCAGCCCCTTCTCCCTCAGCCCTGCCAAAGAACGACTGCTAATCTCGATTTGCCGATGGGGAAACTGAGGCTCAGTGAGGCAAGGTCACCTGGCTGAGATGCAACTGTGAGGAAATGGCAGAACCGGTTCGAGTCCTCAAGCCTGTGTTCTTTCACTCCGTCACGGGCTTCTCCCTGAAGCCAGCATGAGGGCAGTTCGTTCCCAAAAACCAAAAGATTTTTGTAAATGTGGCCCCAAAGGTCATGTGGCAAGTCCCAATCCCTGCCCTCCACTGAGCTGTGAGGCCCCAACCAAGTAACTTCGTCTCCCCGAGACTCAGTGTTCTGTAAAGTGTTCTGTAAAATGGGAGAGTGACCACACCTTCCTCAATGACTACCGTGCGGCCCGAATGACTGTGTGTGGAGCTCAGCTGGCTGTGTGTACCACTCAGAATTCTGAAACCTCTGGCCCCAGGTTTGGGATAAAAGGTTGTGGATCCTCGATTCTCTAAGGCACTTTCCAGGCACCAGGCTCAGCACTTTGTACGGGTGATTGTAGTTAATCCCCTCACAGTCACCGAAGCAGACACTATCACTATGCCCATTCCCTAGATGGGAACACTGAGGCTCCAAACAGTGAAGCAACGTGCCCGGTTCACACAGCCATAGAGTGAAGGCCAGAATCTGAACCTCAGACTGCCACTGGGCACCACAATTTTCTCCCGCCCTCTGCAAAGCCTGCCGGCCCAGCTGGGGGCCAGGCACACAGGACAGAGGCGTGAGTCACAGTCACTGCCCTCCAGCAGCCTACTATCTGATCGGGGAAATAGACCACAGCGCATCAGTCAGGGCCATCAGGGGAGGGCTTCAACCACCGGTCAGATCCTTGGACTTTATCCAGAAGACCATGGGGAGCCATGGAAGGGTCTAGAGCAAGAACACAATACAGTCAGGCTGATGCCCTAAAAAAGTGGTTCCCAGACACGGGCAGGCATCAGAAACCCCCGGAGGGCTTGTTAAACACAGACTGCTGGGCCCCACCCCAGAGTTCCTGATTCAGTAGGTCTGGGGTGGGGCCGGGGAATTTTCATTTCTAACAGGTTCCCAGGTGACACTGCTGCTGGTGATGTGGGGACCTCCACTCTGAAAAAAACGCTGTTTAGAACAACACAGTGATGTGGAGGGTGGCAGGAGCACCCGAGTGTTTACTGGAATAAAGGCTGTCATATATGTGGTACTGGGAACAGGCCACGTCGATCACCCCATCCTCATAGCTCACAGATGATGAAGCACTGAGACCTGGGGAGGAGAACTACCCACACGGGGACACACAGCTGGTCACTGCTGGAGCAGGGAGTCCATCCTGGGGACTTGGGGCTCCAGAGGGATCCCCCACCACTGGCCCACTCTGAGATGGGGCCTAAAATGGGGTCCTTGGAGGACAGGACTGGGTCCTGTTCTTCATAAGCTACACAGTCACTAAGCTAGAGTCTGTGAGTCAGGTAAATAGGTGTGAGGGTTGCTGCATTCCCAGATGCTGGAGCCTCTCACATCCCCTGGGGACCCCCAGCTGCAACGAGTTTGCCCTCACCCCCTGCCACTGCAGCGAGGCCAGGAGCCGTCCAACCAGGGCAGGTGGCGGCTGCTGCAGAGGGAGAGAAAGGGGCCGTCAGGGTGAGCCTGGAGACCCCCATCCCTGGAGGAGCCCCTGGCCCTGCCTTGAATTCCCCAAACGGCTGCATTAGGGAAATCAAGGCAACTTTCCTCCAGTCACTTTCCGGTGGGCTCTTACCTTCAGCACCTCTTTGCGGGACCCAAGCCTGGACATGGCCCTCTTCCCTGCACCCCCAGGGAGGGAGGGCACCGGGAGACCAGTGGCTGTCCTCTCTCTGCTCCCAAGACTTATAGTCCCGGTCCCCTTCCTGGCCGAGTGACCCTGAGCCCTGCTCTTGGCATCTCTTTCCGCATTTGCAGACCGCCTGACTCCCAGGCTGCGTGTGGATGGGTTGCAACGAGATCAGGAAAGCCACTACTTCCTGAGCACCTACTATGTGCCAGATCCATTGTCAGATATCTGCCAGGCACCCCATCATTAGCCCGCTAGATGCAATCCAGCTCCGCGGGTCTGCTCTCTCCCTAGACATGCCCGGGGATACCCCACCAGCGCTACCTACCATGGCCATGCTCACACAGGTTTTGTACATTTGACTTCTTATGAGAGAGAAAGAGAAAGGGCGGGGCAGATCAGGCAAACCATGGAGTTAAACAGGAGTGAGGGGTGCTTGGACCCAGTACGATTTTATGAACCTCCATATGCTTGAGCTATTTTATAACACGATCATGCTAGCCCAGGGAGTGTGCAGCTGGCCTGGTGGAGGGAGGAGGCACTGAGGAACTGGGTCGGGAGCCGGCCAAGTTCCTTGCCGTCCAGATGTCATGGTGAAGACCGGAGGCTGTGACTCACCATGAAATGCCGGGGTAATCTGGATGTTTCTGAAACTCAGAAGTCCCCCCACGCTCTTGTCAGCTCCTGGCAAAGGTGTGGGCCTGGTGAGCCCGTCAACCAGCAGAGTGAACCAGGGTTCCCAAGGTGGCCAAGCGTGGGGACACCCACCAGCCTTCCTTTCTCAGGCTCCCCATGGGGATTGTAGGCCATCTCTGGGATGCCCTGTGGTTCCAGCACAAGTCGCAGACCCACCACCGCAATGGCCAACGGGGTGGGCCTCTGGGCCCTGCAAACCAGCCAGGGACAGCAGAGCCCGCTCGGAGTTCCCAAGCCCCAGGCCTGGCGGAAAGCCCCTTGCTGCAGAAGTGGGCTGGCTACAGCTTGTTGTGCTGTTGCTAAGTTCTGCGCTGATCAATCTGGGCCTCGTGGGTTTTTTTTCCTCTGGTTTCATGTTCTGACGGGAACTGTGCAAATCTGGAGCGCGTTAATCGCAGCCACAGCATTCCAGAGGGCGTGACGCTGCGAGTTCCTCCTTGGCCCCAAATCTTGAGTCCACACCCTCCCGGCTCAGAGGATGGTCAGGAGAGCAGCTCAGGCCAAGCCTGGAATACGATCTATAGGATCCGACCCTCACTGTCCTTTCCAGAAGTTATAACTTGCCTTCCAGAGAGATGGAAGAGGCTTTAGGGCCAATACTGAATTCTGCTTCTGGGTTCCACGGCTCCCCTTCTGGTATTTACAGCTCCATATACTTTGTTCCGAAAGTCACCCTCAGCCTCATTCCACAGGGCCTTGTGCCGGCTCCCTGAGCTCGACCCGCCATTCCCCCAGAGATCCTAGGGCCCAGGTTTCACCTCTCCCTCCTTCCTGCCTCCACTCAGCCAGATCTGCCCCTAATTCCTTTACCCTTTCTTCTTTTCCTTCACTATTCATGCTCTTCTAGAGATTATGCTTTAGAGAGATGGACAATATTGTAACATTTTTAAATTATTTGTACACTTTATAAGTAAAATAATTTCGGGTGGAAATAAGCACTTAGGAGAAAAACTAAGGTGGGTAAGGGGTGAAGAGGAGAATTAGGGTGTACATGTGAGAGAGAGTTGAGGGCACAGCAGCTGGGGGTCCGGGGAAGCTCTAAGAAGGTGGTATTTGGGCAGAGACCTGGAAGGGAAGGCATCCACCACAGAAGCATCTGAAGACATTTGGGGGAGGAAACGGCAGGTACACGGGCTCCGAGGGGAACAGCAAAGAGGCCTGTGTGTTTAAAGCAGGTGAGTGACCAGGCAGGAGGAGAGGAGGTTGAGGGGAACTGGACCCTGAGGTCTGGAGCTTGGTGAGCTATAACGATTTAGGGTTTTCCCGCAACTACAATGGGAAGCCACTGGCTTGTTGAGTGCACCGAGGTGACATTATCGCAGTTGTGTTTTCAAAGGATCTTCCTGGCTGCCTGTGAGCCAAGTTGCAGGCAGAAGCAAGGATTCAAGGTAGGAGGCACCTGCTGCAGAGAGGACTGGCCAGGCCTGAGGGGTGAGCGGTGGTGGCTCCCAGAAGAGGAGGTTGGTTTAAGGATACAGGCTGTGGGGTATGAGAGAAAGGAGAATGAGTCAAAAAACGCTCTGGGGCTTGGGCCCAGCGGCTGCTGGGAGGCAGGAGGGGAGAGTGAGGCCGTGGTGGGGAAGCTGTGAGCAGAGCAAGTCTGTGGGGGTGAAACTGAAAGGTCAGTCTGGGTTCCAGACCGCATGGAGCCTTGCGAGCCATGGAGACAATAAACAAACCTGCTCTGGGTTAGTTCTGAGGACAGGAGAGAAGTCATTGGTGGGCTTCAGGCAGGAGAATTCCAGAACAGTTCAGGCATTAGCCCCCTCTGAGGATCCTCCTGGTGCAAGTAAGCGGTCTCTTCCTTGCGCAGGGAAGTCACAAAGTGACTTCATCCTGGAATCTCGACTCGGCTTCCCTAATATCTTGTTGCACGGACTATGTTCCACTCTACCGTTTCACGGAGAATAGGACAGGCGCAGAGAGGCGCAGTAACTTGCCTGAGGTCACACAGCAGAGAAGCTGGGATTCAGATCCAGACAGCCTAGCTCCAGTCTGTGTGTCAAACCCCTGCACCCCGCCATCTGACGCTTATCAACCCCCCCCTCCCACGCTCACACCGTGCTGCGCAGCTGTGCACGATAGAGATACCTGTGGTAGAGGACGCGGCTCCTGCCTGGTTTTACTGCAGGCCTCCCCTCTGTGTTTATTAATTTGCTAGACAAATATTTATATGCGAAGGCCAGGGCTGGGGGCCCGTGTTTCCTGCCTGTGCAGGGATGGAGGAAGGAGGGGCAGGGGAGGGGGGGGACGGAGGAGGAATTTAATCCTGCAGAATGCTCAGTGCCTGGAGGGAAGGAAGCCACAAACAGGGCCTGGATGGCCCCGGGGTTGGGGCAGGAGAGCTTAGGGGCGAACAGGGCCTGTCTTAGAGTCACCCCAACCCTGTGTGACCACAAAGTCACCCGACCTCTGCCAGCCTCAGTTTCTGCCTGGCTGTGAAGGGGTCAGTGACAGCCACCTCCTAGGGCTACCAGGAGGGTTCTGGGAGACCACCCACGGCACCAGACCTCTCATGACAACTGTTCTTTCTTTTCTAGCTTGGCGGAAAAGTGGCCACCGCCTCTCAGTACAGAGAACCAGGACTTTCATTTCCCGGGGCCAGGTTTAACATTTCGTGTATTTCACGCGGCTGTTCTCTTCCCTGAGAAGTCTCCTTCTCAGAAAGGCTAGAGGGTGGCAAAATGTGGCAGAGCGGGTCTTAGCTTTCCAGCACCCCCACCCCCCACAAATCAGTCTGGGGCCAGGTGCAGAGGATCCTGGGCCACATGGATTCTCAGCTGTCTCTTGACACAGCAGATTCCAGGGCCTTATTTAGAACCTTTGCTGGGCCCTCCACCACCCCCACCTTGGGGTGAACAAGGGCTCTGGCTCTGGAGCCAGGCTGATTCCCCGACCTTGGGCACAGCCTCAGAACCCTAGTCCTGGGCTTCCCTAGAAACCCTCACAGCCATGAGCCGGTTACGCCCCAGGCTCCTGGAGTCAGTAACCACGATGGGGTGAGCTGGTGACCCGGAGAGGAAGAAAATCAAGGACTTTCTCTGGGAAGGGAGGTGTAGATGCTTCTTCTGGGAAGGGAAGTATAGACACCTGTGCCCTTACCAGTATCATTAGAATTAAATGTCACGTGAAACTCTCTGTGTCTTAATGAGAATATGCATCACATTATCTACAGCCTAGGAGGAGACTAGAAGAAAAGACTGCAACCAGTGGACAATTCCTGTCTCTGGGTGGTGTGGGAGCGTGTGCAACTTTTATTTATGCATTTCTTGTTTCTATATTTTCTAACGTTTTCCCATTGAAAATGCACTATCATTAAAATCACGAGGGGAAAAAAAAAACCAGTGATGAGGCACCTGGGTGGCTCAGTCAGTTAGGCATCCGACTCTTGATTTCGTCTCAGGTCATGATCTCACGGTTCGTGGGTTCAAGCCCCATGTTGTGCTCTGTACTGACAGAGCAGAGCCTGTTTGGGATTCTCTCTCTCTCCCTCTCTCTGCCCCTCCCCTACTCGCTTGTGCCCTCTCTCTGTCCCTCCAAATAAATAAACTTTAAAAAAAAAAAAAAACCCAGAGGTGCCTGGGTGGCTCAGTTGGTAAAGCATTTGACTCTTGGTTTGGACTCAGGTCATGATCTCAGGGTTTGTGAGTTTGAGCCTTGCATTGGGCTCTGCACCATCAGTGCAGGAATTCTCTCTCTGTCCCTCCCCTGTTCTCTCTCTCTCAAAAAGAAATAAAAACTTGAAAAGAAAAAAACCAATAGAAACACGGGCACCTGGGTGGCTCAGTCGGTTAAGCGTCCGACTTCAACTCAGGTCATGATCTCACAGTCAATGAGTTCGAGCCCCGCGTCGGGCTCTGTGCTGACAGCTCAGGGCCTGGAGCCTGCTTGGGATTCTGCGTCTCCCTCTCTCTCTGCCCCTCCCCTGCTCATGCTCTGTCTCTCTCTGTCTCAAAAATAAATAAAAACATTTTTAAAAAAACACAATAAAAACAATATATGTGACTAATATGTAAGATAAATATGTGTGTGTTTACATATTCTAGATGAGAAAATTATAGGTGAGGTAGAATAACAATATTCTCTCTCCTGAGCAGTCTCCCACCACAGCACATACTCAGGGTTCTCTGTAATGTACTTGTCCTTCTCTCTTGCTGGATCAAGAGACACTCAAGCACCAAGGGAAAGTTGTATCTGTGTCCCTCTGAAGACCTGGCACATAATAGGCATTCAATAAATGTTTATGAATGAACAAGTGAATATCTTCTCTAAAAATAAAAATACACCCGGGAACAAAAAGTACACCAGAAACTGATGTCAGAATGTGTCCGAGAAGTTCGTGAATCGCACAGGGTGTGTCTTCTCTGACAGGAACCCCAAGGGCACTTTCACCACCAGGGTCCCCCTCTGAGTCCTTATCCCTCTGGGTTGCTTGTGGACCCTGTGTCTTGCCAGGAGACGGGCAGGACACAGGAGGTCGAGGTGGACAGAAACTGTCCTTGTTCATTTCCGAACCCAAGGTGCCCAGCACAGCTGACTCTTCTCAGGAGTACAGCAGAAGCAGGTCAACAATAAGAACAAGATGTTCTTTACTCCATAGAACAGTAAGATAGGTCCTCAATATCAAACAAGGGACGAGGCCTTCAAGGCAAACTAAGGTCCTGAAGACAGAGCCTTCCCATGGCTGTTTCTGCCCTGGGGACAAGGCGCCTCTCACGCCAGGAATGGAGGGAAAGTGTCTTGGACAGACAAGAGACCTGTTTCCCTTCCGATGCCATGGTGCTGGGATTACTTGTCTGTTTTCCCTTCCAGACTGAGTGCCTCACCCAGAGACTGGGGCTTCTCCATCTTTGTCCAAGAAACTAAATAGCTGATGAAACTCAAGCAGCATTTAATGAACTACTATGTGCTATGATATTTACTGAATAAAGGAATGGATGAAGACCGATTTTTATCACATTTCCACAGCCTGGCCTTTTCACTGGGAGCATCGGAATGAGTAATATGTTGAGCATTCTTTCAAAAATATTCACTGCTCTTCTGTATGTGCCAGGTACAGCTGCAGTCCCCACATTCAGGAGATTCATTCGTTCTGTCAGAGTTACAAGTGACATTTTAAACCTACTCCATGCTATACATATTTTGACATGAGGGATTTTTTTTTTTCTTCCTTTTAGAAGAAAGTAGATTCCACTCCTGGATATATACCCAAGGGAAATGAAAACATACGTCCACATGAAACCTGTTGAATGTTCACAGCAGCATTATTCAGGATACTGCAAAACGGAAGCAGCCCAAGTGTCCGTAAACAATGAATGAACACACAGAGTGCGCATAATGTGATCTATCCATACGCCGGAAGATTCTTTGGCCATCGGTGAAGTACTGTTATATCATTACGACACAGATGAACCTGGAAAATATGCCACGTGAAAAAAGCCAGTCACCAAAGACGATTCCATTTATGTTATGTCCCGAAGAGAGAAATCTATAGAAGCAGAAAGCACATTTGTGGTGACCTCGTGTGGCTGGGGAGGGAGGAATGGGGAAGGACTGCTAATGGGGAGGGGGTTTATTTTGGGGGTGATGGAAATGTTCCCAAGCTGATTGTGGTGGTCGCTACAAAGCTGTGGACATGCCCAAGACCACCTGAACCGTACATTTTAAATGGGTGAGGTATGTGGCATGAGGATCATGTTTCAATGAAGCCGTTATAAAACAAAAAACAAAGAAAATTTCCCCTTTCAAGCACGCAAAGTGTCATGGAAACAGATTTCACAACCAAGTGGTCTGCTTCAGTTTATGAGCAGAATTTTTCATTTTTAACAGCCTTGAACTCATTCTTCAAGGCAACTTTTCTCAAGGTTTGGGCTCAGAAGCCCTGTCCCCCCGCACCCACTCCCCCCTCCCCCCCGTTCCCCCCCCCCGCACCCACCCCGCCTCCACTCCCC